TATGCTGCTTTTAAGCTACAAACTATGTTAAATTTGAATTCCTTGGGGGGTAATAGAGTGATATAAAATTAGACAACCTAACTGATGTTGAAATGCCTGTGCTCACAGATTGTACAGTTCAAATTTTAGGGAAAAAAGTAAATACAGAAATAGAGACATAATGGGTCTTTATTCTCTCCTTACAGTAGTTATATGTTTTTCTGGATATAGAGGCCATTTAGTCAGGGAGGGATGTCTCTAGCTTCCCCTTTGACTAAGGAGAAAGATAATAGAGTGGAGGAAAATACAGTGGCAGCCAGTGCCACCACGTTTGAATGTGCAGGCCGTTGAAGTTGAGTAAAGTGTCACAGACCCGAGTAGTGTGTATATTTCTGTACATCACAGAGTTGCTGGAAGAAGCGGTAGGACTGGTGTTCTGCTAGTTCTCTCTGTTCCAGAAAGTGCCCTTGGAGTTTATACTATTTGCTCAGCAGGGTTGAATACCATTGCAAATGATGGCACCACCCCTGTAACCCAAGGAGAATGGACACGAATTTTCCCATACCTGTTTCTTTCACGATGTCCTCCTTCTGTTCCTCACTCCACAAAGATTTCTGACATTTTGAAAAGTGGAGAGCCCCATTCTTAAAGCTGGAAGAGACGTCGAGAGGTCATGCCAATGAAGCGTTGAATTTTCTTCCTCGTGTTAATGTAAGGGGGGAAACAAATTCTTAATGGTCAAGATAAAAAATCTTGGGCTGTTAATTCATTTATTCCTTCTTAAAGCACCTCCTGAGAAGTATAGAAAAAAGCCTTCTTGGGTGGATAACATACAGCTTGAATACTTCATTTGTTCTGCATGCTCAGTGTTCACATCAAAGTAAGTATTTGCAGGAATGCTGAGAATGAACTCAAGCCTAAGGAGGTGGTTTGTGGCCCTGCCGAGTCAGGGCCTTCACGTTTTCCTAAACGTTAGTGCTTTTCACTCACTCACATTTTGGGATTATTTCCTCTGCCCCAAACAGACTTTTTCTTGGTCTTAGTTTTAATAGTCTGAAGATCCAAATAATAAAAGTAGGGCCACTTAAACACACAAGCAACCTATCTCACCATTTTCCTTGATCTGTAAATACTCTAGGTGGAGCATGGCTGAGTCTCTCTGTCTGTTGAGAAATGTTTAAGACCAACACTCAAATTCTCCCTTTTTGGGGCCAGTCCTGTGGCTGAGTAGTTAAGTTCACCTGCTCTGATTTGGCGGCCCAGGGTTTCACTGGACTGGATCCTGGGCATGGACCTAGCACTGCTCATTGGGCCATGCTGGGGTGGCATCCCGCATAACAGAACTAGAAGGACCTACAGCTAGCATATGCAGCTGTGTCCTAGGAGGCTTCGGGGAGAAGAAAGAAAAAAAGAAGATGGGCAACAGATGTTAGCTCAGGACGAATCTTTATTTTTTTTTTAATTTTTAAATTTTTTTTGAGGACGACTGGTCCTGAGCTAACATCCGTGCCCATCTTCCTCTACTTTATATGTGGGATGTCTGCCAGAGCATGGCTTGACAAGCTGTGTGTAGGTCCACACCCAGGATCTGAATCTGTGAACCCCAGACCCCCCAAAGCAGAACATGCGAAGTTAACCACTGTGCCACAGGGCCTGCCCAGGGCCAATCTTTAAAAAAAAAAATTCTTCCTTTTTTTTCTTTAAAATTATGATTTAGTTATTTATTTAAGAAATCAAATTATTTTTCTTACTGGTATTACCAATAATATTTCTAGCCTTTATGAAGTCATGTATCTGTAGGGTATTTTTGAAGAAGTATTTCTGTTAGCTGTTTCATAGGCAATTGAAAGACTTTCCCAGAATCATTCAGCTCTAGGACCAGAATCCCAGAGCTACTTTCTATGCCAGGGTCCTTGTTGCCTATTGCTCTGGGTACCATGAAAAAAGTTGTGTATGGTGATGGATGGTAATTAGTCTTTGGGTGGTGAACATGATGTAGTCTACACAGAAATCAAAATATAATGATGTACACCTGAAATTTATATACTGTTATAAACCAAGGTTATTGCAATAAAAATGTTAAAAACTAAAACACATCACATAGAAAAAAAAATTAATCTGTCTCCTAACAAATATTCCCCTTTTACATCTTTTCTTTAAATGTCATGCTTTAGATACAAAAGTGCATCCAAATGAAGTCTATGATGACATGCATGTAGATTGGATTAATTTGAAAGCTTCTAATTCAGCCAAAATGGTTTCACTTTTTAAAATTATGAATGCTGTTTTTATTGGGCTAAACACCAGAACAATTGATTTGCTTATGTGTATAAATGGCTTGAAGTAATGTTACAGATGAGCAATTTAAAAATTATATAAAATTCTTTGGCCTACATGCATTTTCCAAGAGTAATTGCTGATTCAGTAAAACATCTATAAGAGATATAACAGAGAGTCAGAACATCAGATTAATGAGGGGTGAAGATTCTGAGGTTGAAAATGAGAGTTTTAGGAGATGTTGTAATCACAGTCATGTTTCTTACTGATATCAAAATGCAGAAATGGGATCTGTTTTACCACAGGAAAAGATATAACCTTCAATATAGAGTAAATATATATCTTTGCAATCAGGGTTGAAAACAGTCTTTTCAATAAAAGATTGGCAACTTTAATTTGCATTGGGAAGCTAAATTTACCCACTAGATAAATGTAGCCACTGTGTTTTACTCAGTGCATGCTTATGCAGCTTTTTCAATAGTGATAATTTGTATTGCCTTAGCCCACGACACTGAAACATATAAGCAGGGAATCTCATTTTCTGAAAATAAATAAATAAAACCTATCTAAGGAAAAAAGCTCGATTAGGAGAAGACCACGTTAGTTCAAATGGAGTGAAAACAGCAGACATGTTGGATTTTGTTATTCACACTATATGGTTTTGGGAATTATGAGCCAATTTTATTTCCTCTTGTTTACGGTAGATTAATGATAAAGAAAGTGCTGTAATCTTAGTTACTTTTTAATTCCTTACTCACAGTTCTTGGCACATATTCCAGAATATTTGTCGAATTTTTAACAAAGGAATGAATGACACTGAATTGGAGAACAATTCAAACTAGTCTTATTGATATGATTTAGGAGCATATCTGATTTTCTCTATACCACTCACATTATTATGCAAGTTATTAGCAGTAAGCTATCATGATTATAATGAAGGTTTATATACATAAAGCATATATAATATAAAAAGCTAGGTTATCCTATTTGAAATGGTTTTCAAAGATTCAGTATGGGTCAAATGTCCTTGACCTCTAAAACACCTAATACAGCTAAAAGTAATACAGTAAACTCAGAATTTTGTACATAATCATGACCAGGGTTGATACAGAGACTTAAAAACTCTGTCGTCTTGTTTTTCTTTCACATCAACAGCCCATGTATGCACTTTAACTCCAATAGTCAGCTAAAAGTTTGGGAATAAATCCTTATTTCTTCCCTTCAGTTCCGCTTCGAATGTTCTCGCCTTCTTCCCTGCTTGTCCACACCTTCAGAGCCAATCGAAAATGCCACCATCCATGGACCTGTCTCCATGAGACCTTTAAAATTCAATCTCAATACTGTAATCTTCCTTGGGTCCCAATATTATTTAGATTTTTACTTTTTTCCTATTTCTCCCAAAGCCCCCAGGTACATAGTTGTGTATTTTTACTTGTGGCTCCTTCCAGTTGTGGCACGTGGGACGCCGCCTCAGCGTGACTTGATGAGTGGTGCCATGTCTGCGCCCAGGATTTGAACTGGCGAAACCCTGGGCCACCAAAGCAGAGCATGTGAACTCAACCACTCGGCCGTGGGGCTGACCCCTCCTAATATTATTTATTGTACCTTTCTTACACCACTTTCTATATTCTGCCTTATTACTTGTATAAGTTGCTAGGTTGCTATTGTTATAAGCTACTTGTCAACTTTTACCTGTTTTCTTAATATTCCACTGTGCCTAAAAGAACGTTTTGCAGATAGCAATTAATAAATATTTGTTGACCTGGATCAACAACTGCCTTCCTGCCAACCTTAAGATACAATTTAGAATTTTCTTAGGGTCAGGCACTAAGTGATTTGCTTGTTGACCTCCTCCTACTCCACAGTGATAAAATGCATTCTAAAATGGAGAGATTGAGCTCCCCTTTGTGATTTGCTAAGAACTTTTAAAATTTATATACAATAGCTAACATTTATTCAGATTTTACTGTGTATCAAGCACAATAAGGTCACTGTACTAAGACTTTTATAATCATGATCTCACTTATGCCTCATAATAATTTTGTGAAATAGGTAATAGTGTGACACCCATTGAGACCTAGACTCGTTAAATAATTTGCTTAATGCTGCTCAGCTTGTTGATGGCAAAGCAAAGACTTAAACCCGTGCATGTAACTACTGATTTTACTGTGCCTATTCAAGTGCCCAGTACAAGTCAAGAAGTAGGAAGAGCTAAGTTCTAGAGTTTTTAGTACCTGGTTGAGCAAGCAGGTCAATTTGATTTCTTGATGCTTTTTTTCGTAACCCAATATTATAAATCCGTACGTAGGACTAGGGACATAGAAGCCTTGTGGAAGTATTAAGTCAGCTTTTAAATATGGCATTTTTGGAAACATGATACTTTAAGTCAAATTTTAGCCCAAGAATTGTGTTTCATTTATATCAAGTGCTATTGTTTACAAAGTATTTTCATATACAATATCTCATTGGATTCTTGCAACCATTGAGTTTGTAGGCTATTATCTGGTTTACTTCAGATGATTTGGGTTTGAGAAAGGTTAAGTAACTTCCATCAAATCACACAGCCAGTAAATGTGTAAGAATTAGTTCTTTTTATTACACTATTCTGATTCTAGATTATTCGGCATGCGTTAATTTCTGAAGTGTATGTACATTCATAAGCAAGACTCCACTGAACTACTAGAAATACATGTTTACAGATTAATAGTAACCATGATAATAGCAGCTTTATGACTTTCACATAGGTTGAGCACCCGAATTATCATCCAAGCCAGGACCCCTTGAGAATGACAAACGCCAAACTAATTGTGAAGTTGGGACAAGTATCTGTTGGGACCAGCCCAGGTAAACTGGAACATGTGATCCCCCGATTTAAATAGCACCTATCTTATGCTATGTCCTATTTGAAACACTTCGCATTAACTCACTTAGTTCTCAAACCTTATGAGTTAGGAATTATACTCATTTTTCAGATGAGCATTTTGTGATGTGCCCAAGGTCACACAGCGCTGGTGAATTCTTTTCAGTGCCTTGTGCTCTGCTTAGTCTCTTTGCTTGCCTAATGTAGGGGAAGGGAGAGCAAAGGGCAAGAAGATAAGGACGGGGGAAAAGGTCACAGTAGTTATCAGAATTTAGTGGCTGAAAGAGGTAACTAGCTATTTTCTAATGCTAACACCAAAGTTGCGGGCGTTGAAGTTTGTGGGAAGCAATGGCAACTAATTAAGGAAGTATAGATAAAATATCCAACAATCTTGCTGGTTACCCTTTTTTATTGCACATTTACAGACTTGAGGTCAATCTGGTGGCTTTTATATACTTGATACTCTAGGAAAATTATTTGAAGACCTGTGAACAATTAGGTAAGTGGAGTCTTTAGCAGATGACTTTCGTATGTTTCTAGGAGAAATGAGCGAACCAATCAGAATTAATTTGTTAGTACTAATTGGATCCAACCTGGGATAGACCCTAATTTTACCCTGTAGAAAGATCTTAGGCCTTTCCTGCCTCTGCTAGAGTTAAAGTTTGTTTGTTTTTTCCTAAGTGGGTGTCATCTGTGTGAAGTCCTGGGCAATTTCTTTTAAGTACGTTTCTTTTCTTCCCTGCTGTATCTCCTCTTAGTTTGTTGAGAGATGGTTGTCGGCATTCCACTTCACTTGTCAGGCTGCATGCAAAGACAAAGATTGGAGATCTACAAGCGAATAGAAATATTTCAACAAACAATGCCTGGTACTTTCAATCTGATCACTTTACAAACAAGTGGATGCTTTCTCTATTGTGCAAATGACCTCAGCAAGGAAAGTTGATTAAGCTCAGGCTCACTCTACTCAGAGCCATCTTCCAGCACTTCTCTCGCAATCACACCGCTATTCTCCTGATATACTCTTCCCTTAAAAAAAACCAGAGCAACCCTCAATAGCATTTATTTCATTATTTTAAAAAATAGGTAAATATTTATACTTCAAATAGTTAAATGTAAACAGTGTTTTGTTAAGCGTGATAAATTACATTCACACTGACTTTAAAGCCAACTCTATTTTAGACAGGCTTTATGCCAAGACCTCTTGTGTATGTTATCTTATTTAATTCTCACAATATTCTAAGCGTACTACTTTCCCATTTTATACCTAAGATAATCAAGGCCCAGAGAGATTACTTGACATGCTCAAGGTCAACAGTAATCTCTTCAAGAAATAAATATTCTGTCTTGGTTCTACCAAAATTTAAAAGTTAAAAAAAAAATGCACAAGAATATTTGCACTTCTCTTTAATAATATTTTACTTTTGTGCACTTACTGTATGTATACTAATCATCATGTCAAGTGCTTTTCATATTTGTTTGTATTTTAGCTTTACCATAACTTTATCTTCATTTTACAGATAAGAAAATGGGAGCTAAATCCTTGATCCAAGTGAGTATATGTTTATAAGTAGCAGAACTAAGTTAATAGGTAGCAGAAGTGGAATTCAAAACCAGGTCTGTGCGACATCAAAGAAATTATATTTGTGATAAATTATTTTCAGTAGTGCAAATGGAGTCCTTTAATAAAGCATTGATTTTGCACTGCATTGATAGACTTTTGCACTTTAAATTACATACTTTTTTCCCACAAAGTTAAATACAGCTTGATGACCTGATTTTTCTAATTGAGATTCTTAAATACTTCTGCCATATGATAATTTTCCATATTGTTTAGACTCAGAGATATTTTTTTATTAAGGTTATGAAAGTTAACATCCTTGTGAAATTACAATTGTACATCATTATTAGTCATGTTGTAGGTACACCACTTCACCCCTAGTGCCCTCCCCCCACCCCCCCTTTCCCCTGGTAACCACCGATCAGTTCTCTTTGTCCATATGTTAACTACCACCTATGAGTGGAGTCATACAGAGTTCATCTTTCTCTGTCTAGACTCAGAAATATTTTAAGTGTCTAAGGAAGTGGTTTTAGAAATCAACTAGTTCAACAGAGTGAAGAAAATGACACACACAAGAGGGAGGTTTGTCACCATCACATAGGTTCTGGAGAAAACAGCTCCTGATTTTGCCAACAGGACTCTTTCTGTCACATCTGAGCTACAAAGGGTTTCTACAATTTGTGGAGTAGGCCATAATAATAACTGCAATAATAATATTAATACAATTGTATATATTATTTTATATATAATATTATATATTAATAATAAACACTAGCATTTATGATGGAGAGCTTAACTGTGTTATATGATTCTTTACATATCCTTTTATTACCACATTTAAGTCTCTCAATAACATTGTGATGTTGCTACTAATATGATTGACATTTTACAGGCAAGGAATTAAACTCAGAGAGGTTAAGAATCATCCAGGGTCACACAGCAGGTAAACTGAGATCTGTCGAGGTTATGACCTAAGAATCATAACCTCCTTGCTAAGATTTCTCCACAGGCCCTGCTCAGTGCTCAGTCTTGTTAGCTCTTCTGTCTCCACGGCAAGGGGCCCTTAACTTCAACCAGAATGCTGATCTCTGGCTCAGCCATTAGGACGAGTTCTGATGTGTTGCTGGAGTGATTTGAAGTCACCTTTGCTGCTAGAATGGCTTTCATGGCACCTGCTTATTTCTGAGAGCCTTCTTTCCATCTGCACCTCTTGCCTGTTCCAATAGGTCTCCTCTGAGCAGCTGGTGGTACCTCCGCCTGCGATGCAGGCCTCTAGGGATGGATGGTGGGTCCCTGTGCCCTTCTTGTGGAGTCTGAGCACTGACTGACTAACTTCTGTTACGGCTACTTTCATGGTTCACTGCCGGTGAAGATCCTATTTTATAATATACACACGCACACACGCACACACACACACACACACACATATATATATATACACACACACACACATTTAGTCCAGGATATTAACCAGGAATGACTGGTTCTAAATAAAGTACTGATCCCTTGGAATAAATTTATATATATTTAATGTATTAAATATATAAAGTAGAAATCATTTTGATTTTGTCCCTTTTTGGGAAAATGGCCTCTTACATCCGGTGAGTCAGAATGTGCTGTTGGAGGTCACTAAATTGAGGTCATTTCTTCTTCAGAATTGATCTTTTGGGCTGGCCCCGTGGCCGAGTGGTTAAGTTCACCCGCTCGGCTGTGGCGGCCCAGGATTTCACTGGTTCGGATCCTTTGTGCAGACATGGCACCACTCATCAGGCCATGCTGAGGTGGCGTCCCACATGCCACAACTAGAAGGACACACAACTAAAATATACAACTATGTACTGGGGGATTTGGGGAGAAAAAGCAGAAAAAAAAAAGGATTGGCAACAGTTGTTGCTCAGGTGCCAATCTTAAAATTAAAAAAAATTAGAAAAAAAGAATTGATCTTTTGTAGGTGAGTATCTTCTTCAGAGTGGATCTCCCATTAACTAGAGCCATATCATTAATCTCTACTTGCCAAACATGGCTGGTGAAGAATCTTGGCCTTAAAATACATTAGTGATTTAAAAAAATTGGTAAAGATGACCATGATTCCCTAAAATTACGTTTCTAGATGAAAACTTACTACTTGTGAAAATCCAAGCAAACAAATATTCAGATATTCCAGGAAATTCAAATCAAGCTTATTTATTAAGCTTGATTTATTAAAAAACATTTTTAAGGTAATTGGTGTTTTAAATTGTTTGTTTAATAAAGAAAGATCATTATTTGTCATTTCTAAATTGTCTGAAAAGTCAGTTAAGTGGAAAGTCACTGAAGGCATTGAGTGCTGCAAGCCTTGTTCTAGTAACTGAGGAACCTACATTGGGAAATTCAAAGTGATCTCAAGCTGCTTGGGGCAAAGGCGAAGAAGGGAAGAGATAGATAATAAAATCTAGCATACATTTTCTGCAAGATCTTTGGTCAATAAATCTCAACTCTTAAATCTTAGTCCTGACCTCGAAGAAACATCCAATGAAGTGTGCCAATGTTGTGTATTGTTGAGAAGGATCATCAGGTCATACACAGTTCAGAAGGAAATTGGTAGAAAACCACTAGGTTCATGTTAGTGAAGATTTCAGAGACATTAAATTAAAATGAATTCTGTTCTGTCTGGTCAACACTGATAACTTGTGAAAAGGAAGAGCCATCCATCCTGCTATTATTAAAAGTTGAGGATCTGGAAAGAGCCTCTACAGATGAGGGCACAGCTGTTTGTCTTGGGCATAATGCAGTTGTACTTATCTGTAGAATTACACATAAAATGGCACTCTCAGTGGAGTATTTTGTGTTGTCAGTGTACTTAGGTTAAACAGAAAGCTGCAGTAAGATAGTACCCAATTGTGGGAACTAAGTGAAGAGAGGTTCACATTCTCTATGATTGGATATGGGAAAAATCAACACAGAATGGATGAGCACATTCATGTGGAGAGTAACCCATCTTGCTGGTGATAATAGAGGGTGTTTCCCAAATCTTCATTTAGAGAGTGGGTATGTTCTTAAGAAGTCATGACTAGAATGTGATGATGTTGAGAAACTGAAATCAACTCAGTGGTGGTATAATCTGACTGTCTGAGTAAGGATGAGTTAAGGGCAGGAGTTGCTTAGAGTCCAGACCTACCTTTCAGTTTCTCTTGCCAATGACCAAGAATAACCATTCCTAAATGAATTGTTGATCGCCTTGGACTAAATTTATCTTGGAGATGATTCTTTATGATCACCAGTTTAGTGAAACTTTCCTTTGGCCACTTGCCAACTTTCTCTGCTCTAATTTGTTCCTCACCAATATTCCATCTAAACCGCAAAAGGAAGGAAATCTCAGGAGACGTTAAAAGCTCTATTTTTTGCATCAGTTTTAGTGCTCTTAAATAAATCGATAGTATAAATCATTTTATTAATTAATTTCTTAAGAGTTTGGTGAAGTTAAGTCAATGAAGGTAAAAATGAGAAACTGAATTCAAATTATTGCCAATGTTTCAACAAACTTGGTAGAAATCATATGCATATTATCAATAGGGTTATACTAGCCAATTATTCTAGCTAAAGATTCTTTGTAAGCATTATGTCACATCAGAGGGCAGCAACGTTGGTTATGTTCAGTGAGCCTAGTTTTACATGTTTGATTGATAGATGATTAACGCAGTTTGTTAGATAAAGCATTTTAAAATATAGAATTGGGGGTGGGGTGTAAAAAGAAAACAATGACGCGAATTCTTCTTGGAAGCAGATATAGTCTGGTTTAATTAATAAAGCCAAGTTTCTTGACCTCTAAAGCTGAAGATTGCACTGTGTATTACTGTTTTGTGAAGAGCTTCCCACTTATCGTCATGTCTATTTAAATACAAGGAAGAGTGAATAAGTTATCATTTTGAATTGGGGGGAAGATGGGTAAAAAGACATCATAAAAAAGCATCACAGCATAATAAATCCCATTTCTGAGTTAACCAGGAAGTGAATTTGAAAGACCAGTCCTTCACTGGAGAACCATGAAGAAATAGCGAGGAGTGAAGAAAAAGCATTTAGAAGTTCTGTGTGAACCTAGAACAGTCCAAAAATTTATTCTGGCCTCTTCTGTAAGAGAATAATGTGTGCTCTAGGCAGGATTTGTCAATCTCAGCACTGTGCTATTTTGAGCTGGACAATTCTTTGTTGTGGGGGGCTCGCTCTGCATTATAGAGTGTTTAGGAGCTTTCCTGGACTCCACCTACCAGAAGCATCCCCCAGTGGTGACAATCAAGTGTCTCCAACATTGTCAAATGTCGGGAGGGGGTGGGGTACAAAATTGCCCCCACTGAAAACCAATGCTCTAATACTCTGGGAGGACTTGTGGGGCTCAATTCTCAACCACAATAGTTTTTCTTGGTCTTTACTGTGTTCTTTTGCGTATTATATCTTTAAGTGTTGGAGAAACCAATTAATTGAGCACATGATTCTCAGATTTTGAAAGACTCTATTTACAAGCTAATCAGTTGGCTTTGACTGAAGCAAACAATGCAGGTTCTTGTATCACAAAGGAGCTAAAGACGTCAAATAACATACAATTGTGTTTCATTATCAGTCAATAACTCCACCCTCTTCCAGATTATCTGGCAAAATATGCCGTTTAAAGGATTAGGGGCACCCTTCTCCAGGGTGAGCTGCCTTCCTATGTTGTTCTTATTAATCACCTAATACAATGAAAGAGGAAATGTATCTTGTCCCACAATTTTTTTTTAACAATGTGGTTTTCAAATTTTTCTTTTTTTTTTCTTTTTAGCAGAACGCTTTTCTTCCTTAGACATCTGTTGGAACAAATCAGCATGTAAAATAGATAAAAACATTATCCTACTTGTTCGTAAGGTCAGCTTATAGTATTTGTTTATTATAAGGCCAATCATGTTAGCTTACTGTCCCTACAAACATTGGTATTTGAAATCAAGAGTCAGGAAAGACAGTTGCAGGGTTACATCAGTTTTATCCAATTTACTTCTGTATTTTTATTTAAAAAAAGTTATATTTCATACTGATAGGGATTAGTATCTGAATTTACAATTTTAGCTATGCAGACAAAATCTGTCCTAAATTTAAACAAAAAATTCAGGTATGCCTTATTAATAAATGACATATTTACAGCAAATTCAAATATCTATATAGACACGGTAAGAGAAAATGGCTCAGGTTAATGTACTGGTGGCTTCCTGTTTGACATAGAGCATATTTCAGCTTTCTTTTTTTTTTTTTTTGAGGAAGATTAGCCCTGAGCTAACTACTGCCAATCCTCCTCTTTTTTGCTGAGGAAGACTGGCCCTGAGCTCACATCCGTGCCCATCTTCCTCTACTTTATACGTGGGATGCCTACCACAGCATGGCTTGCCAAGCAGTGCCATGTCCACACCTGGGATCCCAACCGGCAAAGCCCAGGCCACCGAAGCAGACCGTGTGAACTTAACCACTGTGCCACTGGGCCGGCCCAAGAGCATATTTCAGTATTGTGTAGATTTTCTTTTAAAATTATAATTCTTACATATTGTTGAACTTTTAAAATTGCTTTTTATTTATTTTTTGTTTATTTATTTGAAACTATATTTTTATAATGAAATTTGAACTCAATATTTATAGAACACTTGAATCATTTCCCAGAAGTTTTGGGAAGGACAGCTTGAAAACCATGACCCTCCTTTTCTTTTTCTTTTTCTTTTTTTACTTATTCAAATGCCACTGATATCTGAGTCAAAACTGCAAAACATTTTATCATCTGTACTTGATAGTTTTAATAGAGTTTGATAACTATGAAATGGTCCTTAGCCCTTTTTTTTAGCAGTGAATTAAAACCCTTTTATTTTAGTTCCTATTATAAAGGAACCGCTGAGCACTATATGTTATTTCTTCCATGTGTTGCAAATTCTTTCCCCTCCTTTTTTTTTCATCTTTTCTTTAAGGTTTTTTTTTTTTTTTTAGGATTATTTCAGAGTTACAGAAAAGTTGTAAGAACAGTTCATAGAACTTCTATATCTCGTGTAAACACAATGCTTAAAACTCCAGTATATTCCCAAACCAAAGGCATTCTCCTCTTAATCCCAAACAATCCTCCAAATCAGGAAATGGGTACAATGCTACCTTCCAGTTCATAGACCCCATGCAAATGTTGACAGCTTTCCCAATAGTGTCTTTTTCCTTTAAGGTTCAGAATCATGCACTGCCCTTATTTTTATCATTCTTTAGTCTTCCTTAATCTGGAGCATTTCCTTAGTCTTTCCCTGTGATTCATGACCTTGACAGATTAAAGAGTACAGATGTGTCTCGTTGACAGGGTTTTCATCATTCTTTGAGCACTTCCTTACTTTCTGGGACAACAAGATAGTCCCAGCCCATATTGTATCTTCCCCACTCAAGTGTTGGAATCAATTGTTTATCCAAGGAGTCCTGATTCTTTTTAGCGGAGAATATTATTTGGAAACCAAAATCTGCCCTCAGAGTGCTCACTGCTACCAGAGTGTCACTGCTTCTACACCCTCTTGGGAAACAGAGTTAAAATTCCATGTGTATATACATCAGATGCATATATGTATGAATATATCTATATTTGTACAGATAAATCTATATCCATCTATTATCTATATAGCTAGCTATCTATCCAAAACTACACGTTTACTCCAATACTCCCAATTCCCGTTCATAATCTCAGGATTATTTCTAGCTCTCCCCTTTCTTTCACTTTCTTTAATGAGGAACCTGGCTCTCATTATTGACAATATAGTTATATTTTCTCAAAATGATTGTCTATAACTAACCTTCATATCATGCTTTGTTCGTCTTCCACCATCTCTAAGGGAAAGCAAGAGAAGGGAAGAAAAGGGAAGATGGAAGGAAAGGGAAGAGAGAAGAGAAGGCAAGAAGAAAGAGAAGGGAAGAGGGATGGGAGGAGGGAATGGAAGATGGAAGGGAAGAGGGAAAGGAATGGAGTGGAATGCCCAGAACTTTAACCACTTAGCCACAGCCACGGGGTGGCCCCTAGTTGCCATTTCTTGATTTTATCCCCCTTCCTCCTCATCTGTTCTGCCACTGCCATTGACTTCTTTCTTGCTTGAATTGCTTTAATAGGCTCCTAAATGCTGCCAGTCTTGTTCCTCTCAAGAACTTCTTCCGTGTAGACACCAGAGTGATCCCTTTAAAATACAAAGCTGAGCACAACATTCTATGCTTCAAAATTCCAAAAAGGGGGGGCCGGCCCCATGGCCGAGTTTGCGTGCTCCGCCATAGGCAGCTGAGTGTTTCTTCGGTTCGAGTCCTGGGCGTGGACATGGCACCGCTCGTACAGCCACGCTGAGGCGGCGTCCCACATGCCACAACTAGAAGGACCCACAACTAAGAATATACAACTCTGTACTGGGGAGCTTTGGGGAGAAAAAGGAAAAAAAAATAAAATCTTTAAAGGAAAAACAAAATTCCAAAAAGGTTTCCTATTGCTCCAAACTCCTTAATGTGGTTTAGAACTATAACTTAATGGATTCTTGTTTTCTCTCCAAATCCGTCTCTAATCACTCTCTTCACTGAACTTTCTGTGTCGGCTATCACAGGTGCTTGTATGTGTACAAAAAAAGTCATGTTGCTTGAGAAGCAACAATTGAAAGAATGGTTTTTAATTCCAGACTTTCTGGATTTGAATTCTCTTTCCTTGCCTGCTTAGGCGTGTGTTTTTGTGACCTAGTTACTATTGCTGTGAAACAAACCACCCAAAACTTAATGGTACAAAACAATAACCATTTTAAGGCCACAAATTCTGTGGGTCCAGATTCAGGAAAGGGCCAGTGGGGACAGTTCCTCTGTGCTGGGTCTGGACAATCCTCTTCTTCAGGTGGCCACTCCAGGCTGGTGATTTCCGGGCAGTTGCATATTTTCTTGGTGGCTCAGGAATCCAACACGTGTGTTGCAGCAAAGCAAGTGGAAGCAGCTTGGCCTTTTATGACCTGACCCCAGAATCATACAGCGTCACTTCCACTGTGGTCAATAGGTTGAAGCAAGATTCAAGGAAAGGGAATGTAAAGTCTTTCAGTGTTTAAAACTGTCACAACTTGAAAATTACTTACTACTTCTGTGCTCTTTTTTTTTTAATCTATAAAATGGAGGTCTTAGAAGTATGGGTTAAATGAGATATTATATATAAAGTGACCAATATGTAGTAAATGGTCAATAAGTAATAGATATTTTTGGTTTTCAATGACATTTCAGTCTGGAATTTGGTTATCGCTCCTCCCGTCTGCTGGAGATGTGGGTAGGTCAGCACCTTTTCCAGGAAGTCTTCTCTCACTCTTCGAGCTGCCTTGGGTCCTCCCCAGGTTCCTTGACCTCTACAGTGCTTTATAAATGCGTGTTTATGTGTTTCTCTCCTCTACTAGCCTGAGGCCTCTGGGGCAAAGATGATTATATAGTATCTCTAGCATACATCATAGTGTCTGGTACATAGTATATGCTTAACAAATGCTTGACAAAGGAATGTGTTTATTCTTAGATGACAGGGCCCTAAGACCTTGAGATAGGATGATCATATAGCCCGATTTGCCTGGGACATTCCCTGTTTACCTCAGCTGTTGTAGCACAATTGTTAATAGTGCCACATTTTATTCTCAGAAAGTTCTCAGTTTGGATAATAAATTATACAGTATCTACTCAAAGAGCCTTCTAGAGTCTCAATAATGTTGGTAAAAGAAAGACTGCCCTTCACTCTCTGACACTCTCTCCTATCATAGCAGAGATGCTTATGAATAACACTGGAGCCTGGGAAACTCACCTGTCATCGAGGAGGTGTGGAGGCTGTTAAAGGAAATATCCCTCATGATGTCCCAGTGAGCCAGCTGTAGCGCTGAATCACTGGCAGCATTTCCCAAAAGTGAGTTAAGAAACTATTTCCCATTGACTCAATGGGTGTGGGGCTGTCACTGGTCCATACTGACTAGAAAGGAATCACCTGGTTAGCTTTGTCTTATGTTGAAAAGGTGGCTCAAGTACACTCTGAGACCCCCTTTCCCTGTTGTTTCCCAAGGGTCTTTGGGTATTGCCCCGTAGATGTCTTTTAGGAAGCATTGGCTGGTGAGTACTCTTGGGTTGTGCTATGGAGGAGTCTGAAATGGGACAAAATTGGTTTAGGGCTAAATTGTATGTGAGCTGATGCTCTGATGTTTGTGCTTACCTGGAAAAACAAGTTTAAAAGATACAGGAAATCAGTGCATCAGGATCACTCAAGAAAGGAGTTTGAAAGAATGTGTCATCACCCCGGGATCATCCTGCCAATCCCATTTTTGGAAGTGAACGGGGACTTTTTTGCCTTTTGGCTGGTCTCCCTCAGTTTTCAAGGCCCAATTTAAGTCCTGCTTTGTCCAAGAAACTTTCCTGGCTTGCCACAGACTGCCTCACCTCTCCTTGACCTCTGCTTCTCCTCAACTTCTGAGCTTGCCTTTATTTAAAAAATTTACTTATCTGGTAATTCTCCTGTAATGACAATCCCCTTTGATGCAGCACTTATGTGTGCCAAGCACTGTGCCAAATGCTTTGCAAAAATCATTCCTTCTAATTCTGACTGCCAGCTTGTTACTGTTACCTACTTTTTATGGTAAGGAAACACAGATAACAGTGTACTGTTATTTACGTTATTCGCTTTACATGACCCCTTTCTAGCTAACCTGTAAGGCTCTCAAGAACTGCAAACAGGTTTCTTACCTCCTAGTATCTTAGTTTCCCCACATACTGTAGGAATTCAAAGGAGCAAGTTGTCTATGTTAATGGCTCATATTACTTTCTATCTACTCCATGAAGACAGACTTTTAAACGTAAATACATAGAAGTGCTCTACACACAATCTTTAAAGCCCTGGAAACCTCATATAAAGCCAGGGAAATTAAGTGTGAAGAAAAAGAGTAATAAGTATGTGGGACTTGCCATTTTGAGAGTCCATTGATGTTGCTTTTGAAACACAGGAAGCTTTGCTCAGCATTTGTTTAAAAGAGGAAGAAAATGTTTAAAATGTTAGGCACATTGTGACTATTTGAATATTCTCTGGTTGCTTTCCTGCATTACATCTTTGAAAGTGTCCTGATTTTCATATGTGTTCCAGTGTTGAGTGGTATTTCCTGTCTCAGCCTAAAAAATGGGATTTGACTCTTAACGGGAAGCGTCAGTAACGGGAAGCATCAGTATCGGCATCAGCTGCAGTGACCGAGATATTAAAAGAGTGACTTGTATCTGGAAAGACGTTTGAATTTTGACCTTGAAATTAGCTCCACCCACTGAATAAGTATACAATTGTATAAGAAACAAGTAGGAGTACCTTATCATAATTTCAAGTCTGATTTTGATTGTCAAGAATGTTTCCTTTTAAAGTTTTTAACTCTTGCCTTGAAGAGTTGGCCAAAGATCGTTTTTGTGCTTTTTAGTCTCATGTGCTCAAATTGTCAGATATTACATGTGAAGAGGCCATTCAAGGCAGAATCATGAAAATTACAGGTGGAAAATTAGGTCATTTTCTCTCTCCTTTTGCATTACAGGCTGTTTCCTTATAGAATACTGTCAAATACTTTTTTTCCATCTTCATTTAGAATTACACGAGTGATGGGGCCATTACCGGTTCCCCTGGGAGATTATTCCACAGAATAATGGGACTTGCTGCAGGTATATTTTTTCCCTGATTTTCAACCTAAAATTTCTTTTGCTCAATTTCATCCCATTACTCCTTAGACCACCTGTACAGTTCTTCACAGAAGGTTGTAAGGTGTTCTATCTGATAGGAAGTGGAACAATAGCAAAAAATATGGAGTCTCAGGTTGATCATAGCTACAAAAGGTCATTCTGAAAAGAAAATTCTTAAGCCTTAATTGACCAGCAATAGTCAACTGTCTTGTATTTAGATTCAGTTGAGTGATTCCTTTTTCCAAAGAATTGAGGGGAATTCTGGTTTCCTTAAGGAGTGAGATGTGTATGTCTGTGTAAGTTGCATGGAAAAAACAAAAATATATTGAAAATTTACCCTACCCTTTCTCCCTGTGCTCCCTCTAGCATTTTTAATTTAATTAATTAGTTAATTAATTAATTTCTTGAGGAAGATTAGCCCTGAGCTGACATCTGCTGCCAATCTTCCTCTGCTTTTCTATGTGGGATGCCTACCACAGCATGGCTGGCCAAGCAGTGTCATGTCTGCACCCAGGATCCAAACCAGCGAACCCCGGGCTGCCAAAGTGGAATGTGTGCACTTAAGCGCTGTGCTACCAGGCCGGCCCCCTAGCATTTTTATTTTAAACTTGTTACCTCTCTCATCCTTTCGTATCATTGAGATAGCAAGGACAATAGGAAGCTCTCCATCTATATTTTTCCACCTTTCAACACAGAGTCCTCCAAATAATCATGGGGAACTAGGTCCATTTACAGTTAATGTGCATAAGGCTGCTTTATTCATTGTGTGTTTATTGACATGGCATAAGGAGGCCTTATGATAGTGGGCATTTCTTAAACATAATCACACAACTGGGCTAGAAAAGGTTCATAAATATCTTTTTAAGCAGCTGTAAAACATATCAAGCCCCTTCTTTTGGGCATATACCAGGCCACTCATTTATGGGAAAATGAATGAAATAAGCAACCTGATCAATTTGATCTTGGGCTGTTGAAAATTCACTCCCCAGTAAGTTAGACTTGTATCAGTGTGTTCAGTTCAGCCTCATATTCTAGCCATAACCTGGGCCTTTCCAATTTACCATCCCAGAGACACTGACCCTGAGGCTTGATCTGTGCTTTCTTGGTCCCTATATGTCCACGGCTGAGCCCAGTGTCTGGCAGACATCAGGTGCTTTAGTGGATAACTAAATAATGAATCAGGCATAAATTAGGAAAAAAAGCAGTAAGAGCAGTTAAGTATCTAGCATTTTTGACACCCAGCGCTGATCATTTTTAGTACTCCCAGATGAAAAATGTTTTTCAGTAATAATTGTGATGGAAAGTGAATAATAGTAAAAACCAGAAAGGAAACATGGACAATACAATTTTATTAAATTGAATATATATAATCACGCAAATAAACAAATTCAAAATGAAAATAAATGTTACAGAACAAAAATATTTTAGTTATATATAAACATTAATATATAATACATTCATGATGTGTTGAGAAAAGGGAAAATATTTTATACGACTACCTACTCTGTTCCATTACTTCCAGAGGCAGAATTGAAGTAACTAAGTTTCTTCTTTGTCTTCACAGTCATTGTTTGTTTTGAATCTGTTGTTTTAAACATATGAAGCTGTAGTCCCCAAGGGGATGGAGATGTGACAGCCCTCCAGCAAAGCTCAAAAGCTGCCGCACCATTTTGAACTTTTCTCAAAACAAATGTGGGCAGCTGAGTCTCTGGACGTACAAACGGGAATTTTTTTTTTGAATTGATTTCTGTATAGAACACAATGTGTACTAAAGAATGATATATTCTTTATATATTTGAAGATTACATATGTATTATTAAAACTCAGCAGCAACCACAGCAATTGCTTAGGACTTGGACCAACAAAACATATTTTGGGTGGGAGGAGTATTTTATCATCGACATTGTTGAGAGTTGACAGCATGGGGAAAATAAAAAGCAGCGTGCCTTTGAGTTTATTCTTTATTTTGGTTTATTATTTAAAAATTCTTCTTATTATTAAAAAAGTTTTAAGTTCTCTGTAGACAATGACGTATTGCTTGCACCTGGGGCAGACTGCTCCTATTGCCCTGTCCTTGGTACACCACTGTGCAAGAGATTAATTTTGCTTTGAAAACAATTTTAGAAAAAAAAAAAGTTAAAAATCTCAAGTTATCCACTCTATGTAGTTTGACTTCCAAGGTTTGCAGGTATCCAGTAAATATGTTTTGAATGCCTAACTAGGAGAGAGAGAGTGGAGGATGGGTGAAATCCTGCAGAAGGGCTGTGGGCAGTCAGAGTAGCTGGCCAGTCTTAGGCCCTCAGGGGCAGAAGAGCAAGGACATCAGCACTTTAGAAAGGGAAGTGAGCAGTAGACGAAAGAACTGGTGATAAGTTCTGCTGGTGACTGTCTTGAGCTGGCGGTGGGAAGAGCAGAAGCAAGTCAGTTTTCCTAGGCTTAACTTCCCACCTCATTCTTTTATTCTTTCCTTTGACCAGGATTAGCCACACCTGTCTTCCCCATTCTGTTGCCTAGTTCCTGAGAAGAACCCTCTCACTCTTTCTTCTCAGAGTCATCCGCTTCTCTGTGCAAAATGGTGAAACACCAAAGTGCTTCTCAGGGTCATCCAGAACATCTGTATGCCAAATGCTTGGGGCAAGTGGGGAGTACTTTGCATACTTTGCGTTAAATTCTTTCTGACTTCTCTTCTTGGGCTCAGTTTTCTCGTGCTGACTTCTTGCCATCCTTTGCAAGCATTTTTGTACATTTCCTCTCCAGTTAGAGCAAGGGTGACCAAGAAGTACAATCCTTTGAGATGACTTTTGGCCATTCTGTTTTAGTCCTCACCATCTTGTCCAAGAGAAGTCTCACAGAAATATATGAGGATGCCCTATAACCTGTTTAATCTTAGCCTCTCCATCTCCTACACTCTTATCAAAAATAGAATTTCAACATACCCATTAGGATGGCTACCATTAAAAAAAAGTAACAGAGGGGCTGGTCCTGTGGCCAAGTTTGCGTGCTCCGCTTTGGTGGCCCAGGGTTTTGCTGGTTCAGATCCTGGTCCCGGACATGGCACTGCTCATCAAGCCATACCAAGGCAGCGTCCCACATGCCACAACTAGAAGGACACACAACTAAAAATACGCAGCTATGTACCAGGGGGCTTTGGGGAGAAAAAGGAAAAGTAAAATCTCTAAAAAAACCCAGAAACTAAGAAATGTTGGCAAGGATGTGGAGAAATTGGAACCCTTGAGCACCATTGGTGAGAATGTAAAATGATGCAGCCACTATGGAAAATAGTATGGCAGTTCCCCTCAAAATTAAAAACAATTAATATATGATCCAGCAATTCCACTCCCAGCCATATACTCAAAAGAACTAAAAGAAAAGTCATAAAGAGATGTTTGCACACCCACACTCATAACACATTATTCATAACAGCCAAGAGGTGGAAGCAGCCAAGTGTCCATTGATGGATGGATGGATGGATGAATGGATAAACAAAATGAGGTATATACACACAATGGAATATTACTCAGCCTTAAAAAGGAAGGAAATTCTCACCCATGCTACAGCATGGATGAACTTTGAAGACACTATGCTAAGTGAAATAAGCCAGTCACAAAAAGACAAATATTGCATGCTTTCATTTATATAAGGTACCTAGAGCGGCCAAATTCATACAGACAGAACGTAGGTTGCCAGGTGCTAGGTGGAGAGGGAACTGGAGAATTGTTGTTTAATGGGGACAGAATTTCAGTTTGGGGAAGATGAAGAAGTTCTGGAGATGGGTGGTGGTGATGATTATACGACAATATGAATGTACTTAATGCCACTGCACTGCGCACTTAAAAATGGCTAACACGGGGCCAGCCCGGTGGTGTAGTGATTAAGTCTGCATGATCTGCTTTGTTGGCCTGGGGTTTGCAGGTTCGGATCCCAGGTACAGACCTAGCACCGCTTGTCAAGCCACGCTATGGCAGCATCCCACATAAAAAAAAAAAATAGAGGAAGACTGGCATAGATGTTAGCTCAGCGACAATCTTCCACAAGCAAAAAGAGGAAGATTGGCAAGAGACATTAGCACAGGACCAATCTTCTTCACACACACACAAGAAAAGGCTAACAAAATTTTATCTATTGCGCAACAATGTGATTATACTTAATGCGACTGAACTATACACTTAAAAATCATTAAGATGATAAATCCAATGTTATGTGTTTTTTACCACAATAAAAAAAAAGTATCTGACAAAAGTTATGCAATTTAATTCCAGAAAATTGCATGGGAAAAAATAATGTTATGTGTATTTTACTACAGTAAAAGATAATTTAAAAAATGGAATTTCGAGTTTGATTGTTCCGCCACTCAATGTAAAATAACAGAGCACTGTTTTAAGGGAGTTAATCTGACAGCATGAACGCATGATCTTGCTCATACCAGGCAAGTTGTGAAATAATGTTTGGTGGTTGGCGTGGTTCAAATAGGTCATGTGGTTGAGCGGTGTTACCTTACTCTTTCCAGGGCAAAGGGACCAAAAGAAGAGTAAATCAGAAGAGGAATCGGCCACCTCTGTCTAGTTGGATGGTCCACTCTGAGATCCAGAGTTTACATCCCACATTTGTCTATATCGTATTGAATGATTCGAATGTTCACTTCAGCTCCAGTTGCATTTTAGTTGAGGTTGATCCTGCAAGATGATTTTTGGCAAAATGAAGTAAGTGACTCCAAGCAAAATTAGATGTTATGTAAATTAAAAGCCAGGTTTTAAAGAACAGAGGCCTTCAAAAGCTGTCATATAGTACCCACCTTTTGACATTTAGGTTACCAGGCCAGAGGTGGCATAGATTATTAGTAAAAGAAAGCTGTGATTACAATGGAGACCATTTGACAATAAGAAATAGCAATAATGATGCTTTGATTGAAGACTTTCCTCCCCAGGGCTCACATATGCAATAATTTCCTTTCACAATATACTGAGAAAGTAGGGAGGAAAGGGTATTATTATATCCGCTTTATAGAAGGCGAAACTGAGGCAAAGAGAAATAATTTGAGTCTGAGGCAGTGACACATGGGCAGGGACAGAAGTAGAAAACAGGCTTCTAGTTTCCTGATCTCAGGGCCCCTGGTTATAAACAGCTTGCCTTGTGTTATCTTGCTCAACGAAGCTGTACCGCGAAGCCCCCTAACATGGCAGGAGTTGGCTCTCCTCATAAGCTTTCCAAGCAGAGAAGCCACACTAGGCTTGAACTTTCAGGTCCCCCTAAAGGTGAGCGAACAGGTGGATGATGGTCACATAACTTCACTGTTGGTTGGAGAACGTCAATTTCCTTGACGGTCTGATTTCACTGTTTCTAACTTCATTTGAGCAGGAAAGAAAGAAAATTGGAATTTCAGTGAGTTCCATTTTCTTGGCTTAGAAGCCACAAGCCCCAGTTAAGTGCCGCCCTGAATAAGTGGCTTCTCTGTGTTCAGGGAGAGACCACCCCCTGACCCAGAGATGAGGTTTCGCAACATGCAGATAGAGGTTTTCCGAAGTCCTCAGCTGGAACAGCTAAATACGACTGAGACAACACCATCCCATAGACAAAGGTCAGAACTATTTTAATCTCTGAGTGAGGCTATTACTCTGGGACAAGGCCCTTCTTGTCTGATTTCCTGCTATTTTCAGTGATTCACAAGCCTGAATCTCTTTCATCTGGGAGTGCAGAGCCACGGCCCCCTTTCAGATTTGTTTGTGAGTTAAAATAGTTCCCATCCTCAATCTTCCTGGAGTGTCTTCTTGCAGACATAGAATTCCTCAGGCTGTGAGCCTAGAGGAGTCCGTGGGAGGGAGAGTCGGGCTGACTTGGAATGCAAACCCTGGGAGGAAGCTGGAGTGTAGCAGGAAGTGGGGTTGCTGCTGGCTTGGATGGTCCCACGAAGACTCTGAGCCAATAGGTCAGTTAGGAGGCTGACTTCTCCGAGAGATGACAGTGCTCTGGAAGGCTTGCTCCCCACAGCCATACAGAGGCTTGCCCTGTACTGTCTGCTGAAGTCTATGCATGGTGCCAGAGCTTCGGTCAAAGTCCCGTCGCTCTAGAATCGAATGGAGTTAGGATGAAAGATGCTCCCTTAGTTTCTTCATGACACAGCCCTCGAGTTCCTTAATTACTGGTCCATTTGGATTGATTGCCCTCATATTTATAGGTTATTTCTCCAAACTGAATGCTGTATTAGAAAAGCCTGCTTACCCAGTTTTCACATATCCCGTGGTTTTGAATTTGCTAGTTCTCTCCTTTTTCTTATAACTTCTTCTACTGTGGAAATGTCTCAAATCACTGTTTCTTAATTGTTTAATACCTCAATTTGGTGTGGACAGAGTAGAGTTTGAGAAATTTAGCCAAAGCTAGCCTTCAGGGAATCTGCCTAGAGTAATAATAAAGATGAGTTACCATTTATTGACTCTATACTCCTTGCCAGCCACTGTGTAAATGCTTCTCATAAATTGTCTAATTTAATCTACGTAAGAGTCCTGTGAGATCATTTTACAGACTACAAAACAAGGTTTAGGGAAGTTAGGTAATTTTCCCTAAGTCACACAATCAGTTTGTGGATAAAACTGATATTCCAGCTCAGATCTTTATGCTGCTATACACAATAGAGCAATTTTGCTGAAACGTTGAAAATAAATGTTGGACCGTCCCCAGTGTCATAATCTTTGTGGATATCCCAAAATTAAATACTTTCTAAATTTTCCTCTCTCGGTCTTTCTTTTTAAAGAAAATGTCCCCGAAGTCAGTGAGAAACTCTGTTGAGTTGCCCTTTTCATTTGTTTATAAGAGGAAATGTGAACTTTGTGATTGTTCCACACATTCTTGCCACTTCCCTAAATCAAAGAAAAAAAGAGCCACAGAAGCATGGCTGTAATGCACGTTTTCATATCAAAAGGTCAAAAACCAAAGACCCTTTAGCTTGCCATGAGGAAACAGTGGGAAGAGAGCATTGTCACAAAAATACCAGGGGCTGCAAAAATAAAGAAAGAAATAAGAGGAGTTTTGAGGGGGGTGGAGGGGAGGAATTCACATTTTGTTTCTGGATTCTGATCCGAATCTAATGTTTTCAGAAGTAACAGTCCAGCAAAAGACTGAAGGCGTTTGGATTTGGTTGTATCAACACTCCACCCACAAAGCAAAATTAAGAATTCATTGCCACCCCCTCCCTCTCTCCTGAGGTCGAGCGAACAGTACAACGCGCTACTTTTGCTGTGGGCGATGCCTACACCTCAGAGCAAGGTGGAGAGTTAAGCCACTTACTCAAAATTTCAAGCCAAAGAAGTGACTTGGCTTTAATTATCTGGGAAAAGTGTTTGGAAACCTGAATTATTTACACAAATTCTTATCTTTCCTTGGCATAAACAGAGGGACTTCGTGTTTAGGCCATTTCAATTGATAGTCGTTCAAGATTCTTTAGTTACTAGACTCGTCTCTGCTCATGTGGGGAGAGGTAGCTTCGTGTTCCGTAGGGAGAGAAGGGCTGAGGTGGAAGATTTTGGTCTTTAGGTCACTGCCAATGCTGGAGAAGGATGCAAGCAGAGTTTCTCAACCCCAACTGCACATGAGAATCACCCAGGGAGCTTTTAAAAGTGTACCAGTGGCCCTGGTGTCATCTAACACCAACCAAATCAGGATCTCTGGGGATGGATCTGGGGCCAGGATGTTTTTTAAAAGGTCCCTAGTGATTTGACATCATCCATGGTTGAGAATCATTGGATTCACCACGGATATCATCATGCCGATGGTCAGAGGTATAAAAAAGATGGAGAATACTCTGCCTCAGTTGCCCAAATGGTCCACAGACATTTCACTTTTAAGAATATTGAAAAGAGATGAGGCAAAATGACAGTGTAGGTTTATCTTCTTGCCTTTTTCACTAGCATTATGGCCTCCTACATCAGTCTAAAATGAAATATGGCTTACAGTTCTCAAAGCTAGTTATGAAAGCAGATTCTAAAATACAGATTCCTTCAGAGAGAAGAAAAACAAAGATCTCTATGTTCTGATGAGTACCACTAAACAGAGAAAAACAACACTGACCAAAAAATTGCACTTTAAAATTATTCAGGAGTTACTTTCACAAAGTCTTTTGGCTTTATACTTTACTATTTGCACAGGCACAATTATTTACCATATCTATTTCATGGTTTAAAATAGTGGTTCTCAAGCTTTATCATGTATCCAAATTACCCAGGGAACTTGGTAAAATCCAGATTGCTGGGCCCCATCCCTGCGGATTCTGCTTCGGTGGGTGTGGGGCAGGACCTAATAATTTGCATTTTTAACAAGTTCCCAGGTGCTGCTGGTCCTGAGACCACAGCAAACTAAGGTAGAACTTAAATACCTCTCCCAAAAATGCTCATGGTAAGTGGGTGAAGAATAATGTGAACGTTTCGTTTAGTATTATTCTGTCTCATTCCAAAATGGATTTGAACAATTCTCTAAAAGTATACACAATAGGTCAAATTTTTGAATTAAAAAAGGCAAGGAAATTTGGATGAAAAGTAAGGGTTGAGTAGTAAAATAAAAGCAAACAGCACATGCGTGTAGAAACTAATTATTTTAAGGAGAAGATAAAGAAAATAAGAGTTTTCCTGGATTTCTCCCAAGTATACATGTTATTAAACTTTGTTTGATTTTCTCCTGTCAAAAGAAAAGAAAATATATTTCATTATTTATTGAAATATACATTTGAGAGTATCAATTCTATATAGCAAATCTTATTTCCGAGCTCTTTTAAATTTCTGAATTGCTTTGAAACTTAAGTAATATAATATTTAACTATTCTAAAGTGAAGTGAAAAAGGAAAATTGCCTGGCCAACCCAAGGGATACCAGCCAAAGATGTGACATTCCATTTTGTTGTTTCTTATGCATGTAGACTGCTTTCAAACAGAATATATATTGTAAAATGGAATGAGTGGTGACGTGCCTGGTTTACTTAATAAAGCTGTGGATAGTAGATAACTAAACTGAGAAAACCATTTGGAGGCTTGAAATTTTTAGGTTCTTTATCTATACAGGACCATGAAGTCAAAAGCAGGAGACAGTCTGAGCAAATGAAGCAAGTCAGGTGGAAGCTGGGTCCCCAGACATGGCGCCCTGTGTAGCAGGGGCATCCACGGCCCCATGCTGTCAGATAGTTGATTTGTTGAGAAAAGCCAGCACTTAGATTTTTGTACAAAATGTCATGAATTTTAAATGTTGAGAACAAATTTAATTATAAAAATAATACTATGTGATTCAAGCAAAACGCTTGTGGGCCAGATTTGGCCTTGCTAATTTGTGAATGCCAGTCTTCAGGAATTAATTTCACCTGGTTAATTACCAACTCCTCTTTGCACTCTGGGCAGGTTTCTACCAGGCAGCTAATCATGGCAGAGCCAATTTGTTGACTCCTATTTGCATGGTTTTCCTTTAACCCATTGGGTCTCAAACTGTGATCTTAAATCGCATGAGCCTCATCTGGCAACTTGTTAGAAATGCAAATTAGATTTGCCCGCCCCAAATGGGCACATTTCAGATGGCCCGCCCCAGCCCTACTGAATCGGAAACTCTGGGAATGGAGCCAGAAATCTGTTTTAACAAGCTCCTCCTTGTGATTCTGATGCCCACAAAAGTTTGAGGGCCCCAATTTACTTGAAGAGAATTTAAGGCAGCCTCATTAAACCAGAACAGATCTATTGGGTTGGTAATAAGATGAACTCCTTACCAGCATTCCAGAGCCAGAGCTCACTGGTTATGTGACATTCCAAATGGTGCTGGGTATTATTACCCCGTTAATAGATACTTTGACATGTCTCTTTTAAAAAGATATAATTCCGAAGTAGCATGGAGAGTTTTCTAAAGAAAATAGCTGTCAGTTTAGGGATTGGTGTCAATGGCCATTTTTCTTTCTTGCCGACTCCTCTAGTTGTTGTGGTTGCTGTCAGCTGAAAATATTCTCATTTTCTCTCCCATCCACATTTACCTGTTTTGCAGAGCAGCCTTTCATAATTTTTTTTTTTTTTTGAGGATCAATAGAACATGAGTATAGATATAGATAGTCAGCCCTGGTTGTCCAGTAGTTAAGGTCTGGTGCTCTCATCACCATGGTCTGGGTTCGTCACCCACTCAGGGAACCACACTACCTGTCGGTTGTTATCCTGTGGCAGCTGTGTGTTGCTGTGATGCTGAAAGCCATGCCACTGGGATTTCAAATACCAGCAGGGTCACCCATGGTGGACAGGTTTCAGCAGAGCTTCCAGACGAAGACTGGGGAAAAGGACCTGGCCACCCACTTCCAAAAAAATTGGCCATGAAAACCCTACAAACAGCGGTGGAGCATTGTCTGATACAGCGCTGGAAGGTGAGAGGATGCCGCAAAAGACCGGGCAGGGTTCGCTCTGCTGTGCACAGGAGCGCTAGGAGTTGGAATCAACTCGACAGCACTAACAACAAAAGATATGGATCCTTGCAGCTACTCTTTTAATGGGAAAATAGCTTCAAATATACAAATAAAAGTCAAAATATGTTTATAGGAGGACACTTATTCTGAATGAAAAAGAATTCAATCTTGAATCAGTATATTTACCAATATCCAGACGTGTAACAACAAATACTATTTCAACGTGCCACTGAAATTTGAACACACTATTTTCTTCCGTATATCTGACATCTTGGAGTTAGCATGGAGTGGTATAAGAAGCACTGGTTGGGGGGCCGGCCCAGTGGCACAGCAGTTAAGTTCGCATGTTCCACTTTGGTGGCCCAGGGTTTTCTGGTTGGGATCCTGGGTGCCGACCTATGCACTGCTTGGCAAGCTGTCCTGGGGCAGGCGTCCCACATATAAAGTAGAGGAAGATGGGCACGGATGTTAGCTCAGGGCCAGTCTTCCTCCGCAAAAAGAGGAGGATTGGCAGTGGATGTTAGCTCAGGGCTAATATTCTTAAAAAAAAAAAAAAAGCAGCAGCACTAGAGGTCACGAAGGAGACTTGGTTTCTCGTCCCATGCCTGTCCCTATCTAACTCTGTCTATCTGTGTGCCTTGATGGGTCACTTGTGACTTCTTTTTCTCAGTCAGTAAAATAAAGGGCTTGCACTGAATGATCTCTGAGAGCTTTTCAGCTCTGAAAACATGCTGTGATATTAAGGGTTTAGTGTCATGCGGGTTATGAGTCTTAGCTGACGCTGCTTCGTTGTTTGGCTATCTGTGGAGAGTGTATTCACATGCATTCCATTTAATCACATGCTATGAGCTCATTTGCTTGAACTTTTATAGTAATACTTAAGCATTTATATATTGCTTTTCATCTTCAAAGCACTTAACACACTCATGAATCCTTCCAGCAACACTTTGAGGTAGCTAAGTAATATTAAAACAGGGAGAAAGAGAGAGAGAGAGATTTTAAGTCATTTAGTGATTTGCCTCTGGCTAAAGGAAGAGAATATAACAGGGCGGCGCAAGTAAAAATAAATAATTATAAAAAAGAGAGAGACAGAATAAATATACTAAAACCAGAATTAAAACTGATTCTCTGTTTCATATTAAACCTTGGTATCAAAGCTTCCTTCCTCTAAACATTCTTAAAGGTTTAGAACCATCTCAGCGCTACTCCAGAATTTTCTCTCGTCTTTGTAGGATGAAGGCATTTTGATGTTGTCTGCCTTCTTGGAGAGCAGAGAATACATCTTGCACAAATACAATGCTCAGTTCATAATTCA